ATGTACAAGTCACCGAGCCTGCTGTCACCCGACGAACATCATCGGTCCTGACGGCCTAACTTTCGTCCTCGCCAGTGAGGTAGACTTGCTCAGTTCCTACCGCACCGTCTGCCTCCTCTTTCGCCTACTAGGATCCGATGGCACGGCCGTGTTAAGATGCCCAAAAGTGGACCTGGAGTTAGCGGCTGACAAAGCGAAACAGCCCGTCTGCGTGTGCCACATACGACCTAATTCCAGCGGCATGTGCCGTGCTTTCATGGGAAGCGACTCGATGATAGCACCATTGAGTTTGATAGAGTGCACTCTGACAGTATCCGCAGTATAAGACTGCCGTTTTCGACCTTTTAGTTGTCTCCAGCCAACCTCGCCCAAACCTAGGTTTGGCGCACCTGAACCCCGAACTGTATCCATACTTTCCGTTGGAAGACATCCTTCAGCAGGCGTTTTTCTGCTTTCAGATTTACTATTGTTCTAAGTATACTACCAATAGACAGTGGGCAGCTGCTGCAAATGCATTAGGACGCTAACGTATATTCAAACTAAAATTTGACTGGGAAATCCAGCTCCGCCGGTTTCAGAAGATGAGTCGGCGAAAGTATCGCACGTGGCCCCGTCTAGTCGTTATGCTTAAAACTTGTGTCTCTAAAACGGGCCATGTGGTAGGTCCGCTCGACCGACACGGGGCTAGATCGGAGTACAGCAGGCGTTGTTGAGAATGCGTGCCGATAACAAACCGCCAGGCCAAGCTGCCGGTTCCTTCCGCGCCCGTTGGGATCCGTGCTGACGCCCTATTTTTCTACCGTTGTATAGAATTCTGGTCAGTGTACATTGTGGACCAGGAAGTCTGATGGTACACCTAGGTGCGGGTTTTCGTTATGCCAGCCACCTGCGCCCTCTGCCGCCTCCGGGCTTCTTGGTTCTGTCTTGAAATCGGGCCCAGGCGAGGGGGATGCTGCGAAAGTCTGCTATCGCTGTAAAATAAATCGCGCTCAGGTCGCCATCCCTGCCGTGGAGCACACAGCGAACATCGCCCGTAACGACAGCTGAGCCGTCATACCGAACGCTTGTTATTTATTTTATTTAGGTATGTTTCGTCACGTTTTGTCCGATAACAGATTGCAAAAGGCGTTATGCGGCAAGGGGAACATAACTCAGGTAGTAATGATAACACTAAAACTGGCTCATTTCTGAGTCCCATATTTAAACTACCTATAAAGCTAACGCTGGTGCTAGCCTGATTCCAATATAAGTGGTCAGAGGTAAAGTTATGGTTGAGGTTTGGTTTAAAGAATAACGTTAGATTTAGGGCTGAGATTGGGGTGAGGGTTGCGGTTAGGGTTAGGGCCTGAGTCTGGTTAAAGGACTAAGGTTGGAGTTAGAGATAGAGTTGGTGCTATATTTGGGGTTAGGCTTAAGATTGGGGTTAAAGGTGAGGTCAGGGTTAAGACTCTAGTGTCCTAGTGGGGTCACGTAGGATACCGCTACTGTTGAGTCAAACCTGTCTTCCAGCGAGGGCCATGCCTGACATAGTACATATTACGACAATGCAGCTACACATATCTAATTATTGAGGCCTGCGTATTTGCAGACTGATTGGCCCTCAAGGTTCGATACAGCCTCCTACGTTCACCTTCGGTTCAAGCGCTCTGGGGAGCGCAATCAGTTCTATGCCACATATTTGATACCAAGCAGGGAACCGCGCATGCTTTTGCGATGCAAGCGCAGACTTCCCGGTGGACAAGTGCCTCTGATGGCATCATCATCATCATCATCATCATCATCATCATCATCATCATCATCATCATCATCATCATCATCATCATCATCATCATCATCATCATCATCATCATCATCATCATCATCATCATCATCATCATCATCATCATCATCAGCAGCAGCAGCAGCAGCAGCAGCAGCAGCAGCAGCAGCAGCAGCAGCATCATCATCATCATCATCATCATCATCATCGTTCAGTCGGATATTGTCGGTAGGCATAAAATATTTGTTTCACTGGCTATTTTGGAAGATGTATTTCGGTTTGAGTCACATATTTTTTTACAGATGACACCTTAGGAACAACTACCTTCTGTTTTAACGCGGCAAGCCGGAGATCCACAGCAGACGCAAAGCTCCCTGAAACAGTCAACATTTAATAACTTAGTAGGTGACATTTCCCTTTATTAAGCAGTCTAGGCCGCAACCGAACCCTCACAATAGCTTCTTCAGGGCCGGCCTTGCCACAAACATCAGTATTACACATTAAGTGAGGGGGGCAAGAGCCTTCGGACAGGTGTGTGCTCCATTAGATTCTGCGTGTGTTAGTAATCTTTCTCTTAGCGAGGTGCGACACACAGGCATAAGAGACCACCAAGCAGTTCGACTGAATAAAATTGGCAGGCCATTCAAACATTCGCGCACTGATATCCTGTCGCCAAAAACTCTCACCTGTAGGCACAACGTGCCTTTCCGTCCTCACCTGCCAAAATCCCGCAAAGACAGGAGGTACGTAACCGTTTGCCTCTTGCATATTGTCAATTCCCCTCGCTGAGGAATATTAGGGGACTACAATGATGATACCAATATCGTACTACAAGGAAAATTCTGGTAAGATGTGGTTATGTAGCCCGCCTGATGGACACAATACTGTTGGGTTTGGGGCTAGGGGGTTAGGGCAACTATTTCTCAACCACTCAAGGTACAACCACGCATTCCCAATAGCTTTTCTTTTGCATACAACTCCTTGACCTCGTCGCCTGTGTGTTCCCCGGCCGTACCTGTAAAAACCCCTATTACCATCGGTCCCGCATTACAGGTGTATGGGGTTTGTTTATCTCAGGTGCGGCTACATAACCACATCTGACCGAAATTTTCAGTGAGACCTATCGCCAGCGATCAGCCAGAGTGACGGCGACGTTCTGTTGAACCTTACACCACTGTGGTAGAGGTGAAAGTTCGCAATCAGCACCTGGTACGTTGGTACTGCCAGATCTTGCAAGTGTAACTGTTGCAGCAGCCTAATCCTTACGCAGACCTTAGCCACTATGACCCCCCAGCCCGGTTCAGAGTAGAAAGAGGATAATTTGGACACCAGCAGATGAAGCATTGTGTTGTTGTTGTTGTTGCTGTTGTTGTTGCTGCTGCTGCTGCTGTTGTTGTTGCTGTTGCACAGAATGATTGGATAAGAGGTTGGAGGAAGCTGGTAGCTGGACGGGAGCATATGCCCAGCGTCACAAGAGCAGGCGCCCCGGGTGACAGTGGGGCATGCGTCAGAGCGCCTTCAGCGAGTGGATGGTTGCGTCGCCCTGTAGGCTGTTTGGTCTGTTCTGATTGCTGTGATTGGCCGAGGACCAGACCGCTACTGGTCCGCAGGTGCAAGTGCGCGCGAGAGGAACAATGTTACAATAGGCGCCCGGTTTGGGGCCTCTGCAAACCGCGCGGAGGGAAGTAACGTCCACACTGCACTGCCCCAATACTCGCAGAGTTTGTCCTCGCGTTGCCTTCACAGAAGAGTATTTGCATTTCGGAGTGTAAAACCGAATGACCTCTTTTCTCCAGACCAGCCAGACTGAATAATCATCATGCGACTCATCAGTAGAGGTCTGGACGCAGCGGCTTTTGCCGACACCTGCGGCCTGAGTCAAGGTCCATTTCTGGACAGTATGCGCTCTGGCATGGCGTTTTGGTGGTTTGGCAAAAAGTTAATTCGATAGCTCTCATTCAGCCTCTGGGTGGATATGCAGTCCTGGAGGCAGCGCTTGTATTTGTGCTGGTGACATGATGAACCATTCAACGTCCCCATAACGACAGTTCGACCATCTATTTCGACGACGTCCATCGTGTGCTCCACAGCAGGGTGAGAGCAGAGACGACAACCTGCGCATCAGTTAGTTTATCGTAATAGTAGTAGTAGTAGTAGTAGTAGTAGTAGTAGTAGTAGTAGTAGTATTATTAGTAGTAGTAGTAGTAGTAGTAGTAGTAGTAGTAGTAGTAGTAGTAGTAGTAGTAGTAGTAGTAGTAGTAGTAGTAGTAGTAGTAAAATTGCGCTGCATCTACCGCACTCTCTCCTCCTCCCTTTCCTGGATCCGGTGAGAAGACAGAGTCAAGGAGACCGGAGACGGAAGAGGGCATAGGTGGCTGGCACAGCGAAAACTCGCACCTAGGCGTACGACCACACCCTCTGGTCCACAACACAAATAGGGGTGCGGCACGGATCGCAAAGGGCGCGACGTGAGTCTGCAGCTAGGTTTGCTGCCACACCCGGATTTTGGCATTTGCGCATTCCCGAAAACGTCTGCCGGACTCTGATTTCGCCCCGTATTGGTCCAGCGCATCTACCACGTCGTTCGTTTTAGGGACAGTTCGCATAATACTAACTGCCTGTTTCCAGTCTGTTAATATTACGTGGTTACTCCACAGAAGCTGAAGGATTTCATCTCATTCATATCAGCATCCGAACGGAGTCTGGGAATGTTAATCTAGCGGTATTTATTCCAAGCTCGTGCATTACTTTCTGAGAAATTTAAAAAGCCCAACAGGGAAACTGAAGTCTATGCCGAAAAAACCACGGGAACGTTGGGGGACCCATTAGTGGGTCAACCCCTCCTCCCACAACTGTGTCACGTAGCTGCAGAAAACCGGTAAAAATATGCCTGGTCTTTGGGCTACTATATGTGCTACCAGTATCGCGAATCCTTTAAGTATAACTTATTTAGCATGTTCTTCGTGCTGTTTAATTCTATCATAGGTCTTTGTGGCATTTTGTGGGCAAAAGGCGTGCCAGGCCTTGATCATCCGCGCTCTGATACAACTGCCGTTGATGACCGGTCACCAACTTTTTTGTCAAATCTCTGAGTTGCAGTAGGGGGAAACTAGCTATAACTGCTATCCACAACCTGTGCACGAACCGGATAGGCAGTAATCCTGCCAGCATGCAGATCCAGTCTACCCGCGGTCCCCACTTGACCTTCCAATAAATCTGAATTACTAAAACACCTTGTATCCAATCGGAAAGAGGCATCAGTGACCTGTGAAAGACGAAACTGCCTCCACAACGACCTTATTCTAAATGCAAGGAGGCACTTAGTACACATCAAAGCGCGTGGTAGAATAAGCCACTCCGAGGAGACTGATCTCGTCGCCCAGTCATTGAGTGCACACAGTTTAACCAGGAACATTTTACCTCGTGTGCCTACCTATAAACTACTCTGAGGAAGGAATCCTGCCTAACAGAATAATTCAGTTATGGAAAATTAGCAGCCGCTTAAATTATGGGCTATATTTAGATGAACAAACAACAAAAACACATTACAGATATCGCTAACTTTGGGTAGCAACTGCATAAATGACTAACTTTCTAGCGATTAGGTAAGGGCACGGGGCAAGGCCTTCCGAAGGACACTAGCAAGATATAAAAGCGGACTAAATCATTCTCGACTAGTCAACACCCATAGCACACTAGCGACGCGCTTTTCCATCTTGGCTTTCCTCGATGAAAACCACCGGAGTAGGGTGGGGTGGGGGGAGGAGGGGAGGGGAGGAGGAAGCGCGATGCTCCCGTTACCACCCGTGAGAAACTTCCAGAAAGGCGTTGCGGTTAGGCTGGCAAGACTGTGGTCCCAGTTGTCTCAGTAAAAGCCGAAATTCAAAAGTCATGCCATTACAATGAACGTTTCACGTCAAGTCATTTAAGGTACGGGTTAAAACTCAGATGGTATCTGGTCAAGATATCCCCCCCATGCAAAAGCCAATCAGACCAGCTACCCAGTCCAAGAATACTCCTTTGTGGGACCTGACAATCTTAGAATTTGCTCGTTTAACGAACTGCCGCGCCGACTCTAGCACAGAAGAAGACATGAAACAGGAGCAGTCACGAATCGGACTCCGCCTTTTTATTCTGCAAACGGTTAGACCCCTTTACTATTGGTTCAATAATTGGTGGTAAGTTGCTGCAGCATGCATTGCGTAGACTCAGCAATGTGGATTTCGTCGTAAATAGGAAGCATTGTCGGCTGAGTTCAAAAATAACACTCCCTACTTGTAAAGCTACCATTCGGGGAAGTAGAAGTCTTCGTAGAACGCAAGTTAACACTCGTCAGCTCAAATACTCCATTTCATACCTGGAAATATTGCCGCTTCACAAATTTCTCTACCAGATGGGCATACCTCTGAATGCGAACTGCTTTACCAGAAGCTCTAGCTGAATTGGGTTTAAGGCAGCTAAAAAGACCCCTCGGCATTTTGCATAAATGGCTAACACTAGCGTAAGCAGTCTATCGACGAACGGAACAGCTACACCGGTGACTTTATTTGCTTCGCGTCGCACATTCAAGGTCATTCCCTGCATCCAGAAAAGATCCCTGCGGCAAAGAAATTCACCTTATCCCAGACACGCTGACCTACAACCCACTCAGCTGACTTCAACTCGGACACACGCGCATAGAGTCACAATCGCCCATGACCCACTTGAACATACAACTCCTCGGCTGGCGAAACACAGACCACTTGAACACACTACCCCTTCGGGTAGGTAGCCCGTCCCAGGGACTGGGCGCGACATCGGTGACTAGCGCGTGA